AGCACCCGGCGCCTGGATGGAAGAAGTTGCAAGTTTTTGAAACAGAATGCACATCGCACACGAGAACAAGGACAGGCACTCGGGAAGGGACTGCGCAGGTGGCATTGTTCCGCTGCCGAATTCGGCAAATGATGGATACACTACAGCTGCGCTTCGAGCATCGATTTGACGTGGAGTTTGTTTTGCTTCTGTGTGCCACATCTGATGCACCGCCCAAAGGATGTTGTGTCGAGCAAATCACATGCTCTAACACTCATTTCGGCCATCGCTTTGTTTTCTCTCCCACAGAAAGTCATGGCCAAGTCATGCCAAGTCCGTCGAAGGCAGGAGCCTGAAACCCTAGCTGCCCCAGCTCTCACGGCCGTCCGACTTGTAGGCGGCAAGAACACGGCGCAGAATTGGAGCAGCAGCCATCAGCCATGTCGTCACTGTGTTCACATGCTCGAACAAGCAAACTCAAATCTTTCCGAGAAACTTCAGCATGTTCTCCGACAGATGTACAGGAGGCCCGTCGGCATTGCGATCAGGCCACAATAGCCCTATTACTGACAGCTTCAAACTGAGAAAGCCCCAAAGGATGCATGGCATGCAGTGCATCCGCAAAAAGCCGCGCAAATGCACATCGAGTTTTCGGCGCCTGTATTTGGCGGAAATATTTGTAGGGTCTTTGCCAGTCTTTGTCTATCTAACACGCACAAATGAGAAGGGAGTGGCATGTGCCTCCATCTTCATGAAACACAGCCGAAAAGGCTGGGCTCTTTCAAACGTGAACCATAAAATCTCAAGATCTTTTGCGCAACTCCACAGGACATGAGTCCTGCGGAGTCTTGCCGAATACCGCGCTCATTCCGGACAGCCCAGGCTGTCACGAGTTGCAACGCCCGTTTTGGGATTGACGCCCTTGGCGAGCGGGCAGATCATGGCCAGCTGATCTTTTCGAAAAGGCGTGTCAGTGAAGTCAGCACCGTTGATGCTCTTGAACTCAGGGAGTGCATGGATTCTTCATTACGTTTCAGAATTCTTCATTACGTGTCAGAAACACACTACAAAACGTGGAAAAAAAACTGGTCCAGATCGAACGGTGACACGCACGACATACAGCGCCATGCTGATGGCCTCCACGCCGGTCGTACTGTTCATGTACATTTCCGTCGCGACTGCGTTGTCGAAGATGGCATTACGCAGCTTCGACAATTCGAAGTTCGCCTTGCAACAAGCTATCCGCTGCATCTTTAAGCAAGAATGGTACTGGAAGCTGCCTGGTTCAGGTTCGCCCCGGTAAAATCCGCATTCGTCATGTCCGCATCGAAGAAGCTTGCACTCTGACAGTCAGTGTTGACAAACTTGGAGTCACGGACAGAGGATTGCTGAAAGGACACACCGACGATGCTCTGGCCAGAGTAGTCCGCTCCATTCAGGTTAACACCACGAGTGATATTCTTCGCGGACCCGCTGTTCTTGCCTGTCGTTGAGGCCCCACCAGCCATGATCTTTGACGACACTGTGGCACTCTTGTCCGCACTCACAGGCTGCACCAGCATGCTGAGGCCCAGCAACACCGCGAGTGCCTTCCAAGCCGCAAGAGCAGAGCACAGCGTCTAAGGGTGTGGGTTTGGCTTCTCAACTTGGGCAATCTTCGATTCTGCCGAGCAGCCGACAGTGCAGCACTTCTGGAAAGCGCCAGGTGCTCTTCCTGGATGTCTGCGGCGGAGGGGCCCCTGTCAACCCGAGGCCGAAGCCTGTTCAGGACCTCCTCTCCTGGCAAGCGCCCTGGCTGCAACCTGCTGCTTCCGGATCCACATGACTGCCACGTGTGTCTCACCATGAAGAGTTGCAGCACTACTTACATCTGCCCACATCATGCCACGGCACCAGGCAACGCTCCAGGAATAGCATACCAGACCCAGCGTCACCTGGTATGACCCCACGGTGCAGAAAGCTCTGCACAGTGCACCGAGGAAAGCTGACCCGGATCTGTAACTCTTCGACCAGCGAGCAGCGAGAAGCCCTGCACTCCAAATTTATTCTATCAATCGAGTCTGACACGAGCTAAACGGCAGTTGATTGTTGGTGTGCCGTGCTCCACCCTGTGTTGGCGAGGGATGAGTCACTACTGGTGACAGGGCACCATCAGCAGAAAGCACCATCTTCGGCTGCCGGAGGCCATCGCCGTCCTGTCGAGCTCTTCAGCAAAATCCAGCCGCCAGCTTTGCGAGGATTGGGGAATTATCTCCAGAAGCCGTGCTGCGTGCGTGTGTCTCAGGGCCTGCAGCAAATCGCCGACAGCCCCGACCAAGCTCCCCCCCCCCCCCCCCCCGTCCGAGCCTCGTCGGCTGCGAAGCGTTTTTCTGAAGCGATTTCTTTTGATCCGAAAGGGAAAGAGATGGAGCTCCATCTCGGGCCTCTCCGCTCAGGAACAAGCCCAGAGCTCCAATGATTCTTTTCCCGCAGGCGGTCAAGATCTGTTCCACATCGCCTGTGGGGATAAAGCGGTGTTCTACGAACTTGCTGAAGCTGGCGGAAGCAGTCGACCTTCACCTCGACCCTTGCATTGGCAAGTGACATTCCCCGTCTTTCCAGTACAGAATATGGCAGATACACTGAGCATTACTAGAAGAAGGTCTTGTGCAGAGGACGTCCCCGAGGTTCATTCCCTGTCACGACGGCTGGCGGCTACGTATGGTTACTTCAACGTCTCAGACTTCATGATAATGCTCTGCAAAAGTGCATTGGCGTTGTGTCCTTGGCTTCGTCGACTCCTGCAAAGCCCCCGTATCCAATGTGCTCCAAAGAGCATTTTTGTGATTCTGGTACTGCTTCACCCTCGTATGGGACCAATTATATGTCAACAACTTGTTGCACTTGCAGACCATTTCGGTTCACTCAAAGTACGCCTCGATTGATGCGAACATGCAATGAACAGCAAACGAGCACCGGGCATACCGGGATACATTTACAACTTCTTTAGATCAGCATACAGCGCGACAACTTGGAGACACGCTCGAAGGAGATGCCAGACTCCTTGAAGTCTAAAATGCTACAGGTGCTGTGGGATACTCGTGGATTCGAGGATGCCTTTCGGCCCTTAGTGCTTCTAGAGATCACCCTGCCACATAAGAAGCCACCTAGGTCAACTGGGAACGATCAACCTGACTGCGCAGAATGTGAACCCAAACGAATAAATGGTTCGAATGCCTCGCCACTTCTGCTCCTTTGTGCAAGTGCGTCTTAGATCCTAGACATCGACATCAGCTCAGGCCGTAGTAGCCTCGGCTGGTTGGGTGGATGCTTCCGGGTGCATGAGGCTCAGTCGCACAACGACGCAACAGGAACGCCAAGAGATCCGCTTGTTGCTGAGAAGTGCCGAGCAGCGGCACCTTCACTGCCCCAGAAAGGGCCTCCCTGGAGCTCTCTGTCTTCTTGAAGTACAGGAAGGCCAGATAAACCAGCGAGGCCATCGATACCCAGAGAGCCAACCAAGCCCACAGAGGGATGGGGGCTTCTGCCTCGAGCGAAACCGGTGAGACCGGCCTGTAAGGAAACATGGCGACCTCTTTCCGGTTGAAGCTATGCACCGCGTAGACCTCAAGTGCCGACCCAATGCCCGCTCGTGCAGCTTCGGCTCTAGTCTCAGCACTTGGTATGTCAGGAGCAGTGGGAATGAACTAGAGATGAGAGCCTAAACCTCCGGACACCACCAACCCTGATTCGAAGCTTCATTGCTTCCCTCCCTCTCCCTGCAGGCGTGCTCTCCTTTCAGGCCAGATGCGCTACGCAGAAAGGAATCTCCCAAGATCCAAATGCCCTGATTCGAAGCCGACAAGCCGGTCCTGCAGAAGTCCTGGCAAAGCCAAATGCAATTTCCAATAAGCCTTCAAGGCTTCTTAGGAATTGTAAGCAAGGAACCCACAAGACTGAATGCGATGGACAGCCGTCCTCACCGTGGATTGTCGCCACCTTCATGAACAACTCTGACATCTCCAGGCGGATGAGTTGCTCGTGGAAATAAATGTTCAGCGCCGTCGCCTCTGCTTCACTGCTGATATCTTCAGTGGGTTTTAGAGAACAGCTTTTCGTCTCGGATGGCAGAAGGCAAACCCATGTCACTTTCGGACGTCGGGAGTGATGAGTCTTTGAATGCAGCAACGACTTTGGATGATCGGGTCATGGCTAGGCGGCTAGGCGGTTGGGCAACCGTCCTTCAAGATGCCTGAAGACAAGTTGCGGAATCAGCCAGCGAACAGGGGCAGAGGAGCTCAACCCCCTCATTCAAGAAGCACTGATCCAACACGGCTGTCCCGAAGAGCCCGAGCGTCACTCTGACAAACTCACCTCTCAGAATAGACAAAGGTCAAACGGGGTGTGCGTTCAGAGAGCCACGAGCCTGCTGGGATGGAAATCAAAGACGTGCCGGTATCCAGGCACGCCAGCACTGTTTGATCGAAGTTTCCCGCAGTGAGGACTTGCAGAAAGTACAGGATCAAGAAGATGACAACTCAGCAGCGCGGCAACTAGGGCATGATTGTCAAGCAAGTCCTTGCAATCGAAGTGATGCAGAGCATAACAACAGTATAGCTTTGTCAGCTCAGATTCAGAAATAGCTAAGGGCCCGCCTCAGTTGACACCAGGTAAGTTCATGCTGTGCGGAGAACATGCCTCTATATTTTCTATCCCAATCCCCAACTCCTACCCCCAGGTTGCGTGGCTAGCATGTACGCGGGTGCCGTTTTAGCAATCACATAGTTGAATAAATGATCGAACAAGCCCGAGCCCAGATACGAGTTTTCCTCCAGGCACTCTCACAGCCCACATGATCGGATCCGAGGTCCACATGCACCCGACCAGCCAAGGTGCGCAAGGCAGTAGCGTTGTCCCAAAGACCGAAGGCTGAACAAGCCTGCAGCCATACACCGAAGGAAGTGCCACGCGATATATGGCAGCGGTGGTGGGAATCATCTGAATTGCTACGATAATAATGACGATACTGCTCCTTCTGTTGCCGCTCTTGTCTTGACTCTTTCCATTCACGACCATGGCTACTACGACTACGCCTACGCCTGCGCAAAGCCCACGCTTAAGACTGCGACTACGACTACGACTTCGACCAAGACCACGACCCCACAGACTACGACTACGACCACGACCACCACGACCACGACAACGACCACGACCACGACTTTGCCTACGACTATGACTATGACTACTACTACTACCACCACCACCACCACTACCACTACTACACTGCAGCGCTTACCTCACACTTGTGGCCCAGCAGCAGCAAAGCAGCAAGATCAGGTGTAGCAGCGTGAGCAGGAAGTAGGACAGGCGCAATTTCCATAGATGTGGCGCTGTTGCCTGCCACTGGGCTGAGTGCGGGAAAGCAGAACCACAAGCTACTCCACCTGGAATCTCTCCAAAGCCTCCTGAACCCCGGCTTCAGAACTGGAAAAGGGAACCTGGTCCTGGGTGCAGCCAGTATAAAGGGTAACCAATGATACTGATACCTAATTTGCCGAAGGATTGTGTAGAACTTGGCTGGAATTCGACAGCTTCGAGCCAACTAGCTGAGCGTCGCAACAACGGCGCAGGAGGAATATGTCCCACCACACCAGATGTAGACAGAGCGAATCCGAGCGTGGACTGGGGAGCTCAGGGGGGTGGAATTTCCGCGGGAGCAGTTTGTGCTGGAGACTGGAAATCGATCTCCTTGGGTGGACATTTGTGGAAAGACTTTTCTTCTGGCCCCCGTGTGAGGCCTAGGCCCCGGATCGCAGGGTCACGGTAGAGCAGTGCTCGAGAGAGGTATTAGAATGAGGAGCCGCTCGCTGAAGGCCCACACTAAACTGGTTTCAGCGAGCCGGAGGCGATGCAAAAAGACACTTTGCAAGTAGAAATGTGATTGGGCAGCAAAAGCTCTATAAACAACAAACGACTCTAAACGGGGCTTTGAACCACAAACAAGTGCAGGAAGCAGAACCCACCATGCCACCTTCACGCGGGCTTTCACGAGCCACCAGCCTGCTTGGGGCCCCACTTCGCCTTGGACCCTGTGCGGAGGGCCACAACTCGAAACATGTGCAGCGAGTGCGTTGACGAAGCAGCTTGGCGTGCAAGAGTTCGACAATAACGGCCCTGACGCCTGAAAACGTTCAGAACGTTTGCACGCACCACCGAAGCTTTGTCGATGCCGGTGACCAGGAAGCCCCGAGCGAGGACCTTCGGCAAGAAGGCATGCGGCTTGGAATCCAGAACAATCGAGCTTACCTGGAGGACTTCCTGGGCAGAGTAATTCTGTATTACTGCGAGTACAGGCGGCATGAACTTAGGAACATTCCCATGCTGCTGCAGTAAGTCAGGCAGTTGATGCTGGGAAGTGAAGGCAGACGCCTTGCAAGAATTTCTGCACGCGCCTCATCGTAGTCGCCCACTGTGAACAGCGATTGCTGGTCACCCCCGTGCAGTGCAAACGCGAAGGCGAGGTCCGCAAAGCTCCTGTGCCGCACTTGGCTCAGATTGCTAGGGACATTATGGCATGTTCGAGCTACTGACTTCATGGCATGTTCGCGGAATGATGCTACAGTTTGCCCAACACCGGTCTCGTTGAGATTCCGCAGGAAAGTACGGTGCACATGTGACAGTCCGATGAAGGCCAGCCCGAGGACACCATGGATTCTGTTGGGAATGTCTCGCGTTTCCATGCCGTAAATCACGGGCTGCTTGTTGATACAGGTCCTCGTTTACAAGTGAGGTTGTAGGGCTGCAGAAACACACGGAGAAGCTCAGGATGGCTTCGGGCATTGCAGCAGGTCCTCTGAGGACTTGTTACAAGACAGACCCGATCGAGCCCGTAGACACCACTCATAAAGCCGATGCCGTAAGTCATGTTCACGGGCTGCCCTTCCGAACTCCATGTCATCGATTCATCAGGGTCGTAAACCCGCTCGGAAACCCAGAGGTCCGAGGATCCTGACGTCTGCAATGAAGTCAGGATACATGGAAAAGGCTTCTCCGCCTGCCTGTGTCCAGGATGAGCTGCACCTCCTGGAAACGGCACATGCTGACCTCAACCTTCGGGCTGTGTCTTTCGCTGCTTCCTCAACTCCCCCCAATCATCCACGGGTCTCCCAAAGACACTGCTGTACGTGGTACAAAGACCAGCCTCTTTTGAGCACCTTTGCGCTACACTGTGCACTCGCAGTCTTAGCTCCTCAGGCCCTTCATAATCATCTCCTGGATAAGTGGTCGTCTGCAAGTTTGATCTCCTATCTTAGTTCGGCGCATTGCAAGTCGCGACGGCGATAGGAGTGTACAAACTGTGTGCATGCTAAACGAGTCAGGACACATGTCCTACATGATCACCCCATGCGAAATAGACAGGTCTCTCGAAAATTGTTCGACCAGAAGTGTTGAAGAGTGAGCCACGCACTCGCCGTCACAGTGAGCTGTGAGATTTAGTTCAACAGATTCGACATGGCCGCAGCAGAACTAGAAGTGTCAAGGGGGGAGCGTGCACGCTTGTCCACATGACAGCAGAGGGGCCTGAAAACCCATTGAACCAGTGCCTGTCCTTGGGCGGCGCACCAATCTGCACTGCAGCTGTGTAGTACAAGTTCCTCGGCAGGAGCCACTACGAGGATCAGCAGAGCCCTGGCGGATTTCGAAAAGAAGAGCCATCGCAAAGAAGGAAAACAGAATCAGGGAAATAGTGGTCATATGGCGCAATTTGCAGAGATAGAACTCAAGTGGCCGTCTGTCGTTCAGTTCCTCCGATCGCAGACTGCTCGCTGCCAGTTGCTCCAGTGCAAGTAACCGATTCGCATACAAAGTGCTTGTCTGACTCCTGGCTGAAGCGCACGAAGCCAAGATCCCCACTGTCTGGATGGATAAAGCAATTCGACAAACTGATTGAGCAATGCCTGCTCGATGGCTGGCCTTGTCTGCCAAGCCTGGTACACGGTGGAGTTGGCATCCGTCAGCGCCAAGGGATGTAAGTCGTGCCTATTTCCGAATCATGAGTCTTGCTCGGTTGAATGAAGCTGAGGCTTACCAAACAGGTCATGCTACACCATCTTGAACCATCTTTCACAAAGCCGAGGCCTCTGCAACCATAGAATCTGCTCGGCCCCACACAAAGCCAGGAAACACGACAAGGCAGTCCATGGCTTCATCCGCCACTAGGGGCAGCTGGAGGCCTCGTGTTGACGTGTTTGCTTACGCTGCGGTGCCAGCCTTAGGGACGTCTTTATCGTCACAATGCTGTGGAAGATTGTGCAAAGCCACTGGGCAGTAGCGCCAACTGCCAAGGAGTTTCAAAGTCGCTGCATTTCAAACAGCTGGGCAGGTGTTCCCAGCTAGTTAGGGGGTATCATGCTCATTTTGGGTTAGATGTAACTGCCGTATCACCTAGGGTTAACAACCATTATCACAACAGCAACCCCCTTCTGCCTATCCTATGTATACCACATTCCCCCAAAGCCTTCACTACACAACAAAGTATGCATCCAACATAGGAAATTACCTAGGATCAAGGCGGTTGCATCCAGACATGTGAAGGTAAAAAGAACTTATTAGCTTTAGGTTTAAAGGTTCTGATCCAAACATGAGATGATGCCAAATTGATCTGCGAGAAGGCTATGTGTTGCCTCTTCAACGGGTGGTAAATCTGCGTTAATACAAAAAACTAATACTGAAGATATACCGAAATTCCTTGTGACAGAATATACAATTTTAGCCCTAGTGTTCATGTAGATGACAAATGGAGGGCAATCAAACAACGCAGCACTGATGTAATGAAAGTGGATAGCGAAATGGAGAAAGTATGGTATGCAGTATACGATCCAACTGCCTTGAGGCATAATAAAGAAACACTACACAAGGTAATAGACTTCCAAAAGAGAATAAACAAAAGAAGTTAGTTATTTGGTATTTAGTATTCTCATAGTGATGGACGACTTTGCCGACGTGGAAGACATAGAAAGTCACACGCTGATATCTGGCCGGTGGCGGAGGGCCTGTATGTTTTGGGGTAACGCGGCAAGGCTGTAAATTACATGAACTCGTGCGTGTGGCTGTGGACATGAAGGGGGACTCAAACTTAGGGCGCTCATTCTAGCACACGTCCCCCAAGTGATCCGCGACATCCGTTTTGGGATCGAACTGCGAGCGCCAGACCCAGCTGTAGATGTATTCAATGAGACGCACGTTGTATAAAGAGGCAAAGTCGCTGTAGATAGCAGGGTTTTGGGCATGCTTGCAAAATGGCATGAACACTTGTGACACGCCTCGTGGTGCTGGACGGAAACATTCTTCTGCAACATGTTGTATAAAAAGGCAAAAACATGCAAATAGCAGGGTTTTGGACATGTTCGCAAATGTCATGAACACTTGTGACCAAGCCTCGTCTTGCCGAACATCAAACATCCTCCTGCACATGTTGTACAAGCAGGCAAAAACGCCGTAAATAGCAGGGTTTCGGGTTGGTTTGTGTAACATGGTCGTAACCACCCCACTCCCCCCCCTCCCCCATCCCCCCTCCCAACCCCCCTCACCCCCTCCCCGGATAAGAAAAGTGAAGCAAAGCACGTGGCCAGGTATGCGCGTGCGTAGACATAGGGCCATCTCATATACTTTGTCAACTCCACTATATGACTATATGTGATGTCTTGGCACCTATAGTGGATCTACTTTGATGTCCTTTTGAGCAATAAGGCCTTGCATCCAGTCCTTCAGAATGTCGTGGTGGTCGTTGCTCACAGCGGGTGCACTCAATGCTACGACCTTTCACCCTAAACCTAGTAAGTCTATTTATCTGCTCATGCCCTTCCTGGTCTAGAAGTAACCGCCTTGATGCAATATTGGATACATAAGTTGTGTGTTCAGTAGTGATTTGGGTGCACTATGGTATATGTTGGATCGGGATAACGGGGAACTGGTTGTGATAATGGTTGTGAAGCGTAGGGGGGATATGGCGGTTACATCTAGCCCAAAGCGGGCATGATTCTGCCTAACTAACTTCTGAAGCCAGACGGTGCGAGCTTAAAGTCAGCGACCATGGATCCTAAGGCAAACTTTTCTCACAGCCCAAAAGCACACGGTGACAGGCACACTCGAGGCACACCCTGATGGTCCCGGATTGCTTTGCAAGCACAGGGTGAAAGCAGGGACAGCGCCGCAATGGGGGGAGGGCTTATGATGTTGGCTGCATTTGGCTGCCATGCTGAGGTCTGGAACGTTTATGCAGGGTGTTTCTGGGTGAAACGAATGCACTCTAGGTTGGCAGCAGACCCCGTGGCTCTTGCAAGAACTTCCAGAGAGGCGGCTTCTCAATGTGGGGGTACGCGTTCCTGTAAACTCAAAGGAGACTCAAGGAGGCGAAAAGAGGCCTTCTTGAACAGTTTGGGGCCTCTCGCCGATGGAGGGCAGCTTGTAGTGGCCAGGCCCCGGCTTGACCGTCGCCCTCTCGCCTGCCACAGCAAAAGCATGGAGAGGTGTCGAGGCCCCGATCATGACTTGTGTGATACGTTCAAGTCTTGAAGGTCTATTTTCAATCCGAAAACAAGGACCCTTAGATCGGCGATAACCGCAAGACAAGATCAAGCATGGCAGACGAACCACGAGCTGGCGAGAGCGGCTCGGTTTTGCCCTGCATGGTCCACCTGTCACGGTGTGGCACTGCCAGCCGGCCGGCCCCACCATCCACCGGTGCTTACGATGATTTTCTGCTCCACTTCGAAGGCATCAAAGTGGCTTGAAGGGAGTGATCTTCCCGTTGCGCAGTGCCCTTTCGACGTTGTACCTGCACGACAAGCGCAAGCTGAACCCCACCGATTTGCTCGAAAGGTGCTCAGCCCCTCGGATCCTCATGGCGCACTCTCCAGGCACGGGTCCCGGGGCGGCCACAGGGTCACGCCAAGCCTCGCGGGCTGGCATGCACGGTGCAGCTGCTATCACGTACCTAGTAAGTTGTCCACCTCCCTGCCCTGCGCAGTGTACACCGGAGCCCTCCGGATCTGGCCACTGTGCTTGAAAGCCTCAGGATATGGTTGTGACGGGAGGCCGGGGGCGTCTGGTCGCTTGAGTCTGGCACGTTCTGGTCGTACTGTCCTGGTGCTGGCCCGTCCTGCGAGGCCCAGTTCGGCCAGCAGATCCCTTTGGGCAGATCCCAGAAGCACGGGATAGCAGGGGATTCATGGCACACTCGGCTTTGTCTCACAATTCCGCATTGCGTCCGCTTTCAACTGGTCGAGGCGATGCTCCTCGACAGCACGGGACAGCATATTAGTCTATCCAAAGCTCTGAGCGCCGGAAAACTGCACATGAGACGCGTTGCTCACTCTTCGAGCATTGACCCGAGTTCCCTGCGATCTCGATCGGAGCTTTGTGCTGCCTGCAGGGTGAAACCCTTCACTAGAAGCACCAACTGAAGCAAAGGTCTTCGAACAGCATACAGGCTTGCATGCTCGAACTCATTCTTGCATGGCATGAAGCAGCAAGGCCAAATTGCCGCAGTGGAGCCGTAGATGTAGCTAAGCAGCTAAACCAGAACCGCAACATGCTGGCATCCAAACAAAGCACATGCCGCATGAGGCACAGGCTTGTGGGGAGGACTGCCCCACCTCGCCTCTCTGCGACGAAGCTCTTCCAGGTCCGCACGTGCAGCAGCAGCCTGACCAGCACGTCAAAGAGCTTAGCCTTGCTTCGTCTCTCCTGATTCACATACGTTGAAGCTGCAATGAAAGGGTTGAGGTTGGTGGGCTTCAGTTGCGGCTTTCTGGTGCCACGCGTGCTTTCCTGTGTCTGCGACTAACTGGTTCTGGCACCGGATCTGCTAAGCCTTACTGCTTGCCGAGCACCTGGTTCTCGTCGCCGTACAATCCCGAAACAAATCCGAAACCTGTTCCCCTCGAAGCCTTGCTGAGTTCCAGTCTCGATGTGGCAGTGTGCTCGGGAGTCAAACAAAAGCTGCACAGAATTCAGGTATCTCCAGGGCCAACGCACCTGGCTCGAGTGGGCCCCGAACACCCGCTCCTTAGGTGTACAAGGCTGCCGCTCGTGACGAAGGTCAAGATCCCGTCGAAGCTCAGGCAGTTTTAGCCCAGGCACAGCTTGTTGCAGCACGTCGCTGTAGAGCGCCGCCGATTCGGCGCGATTTCCCAGGGCATAGAGCAAGAGAGCATGATTGCTCTTGGCCGTCAAGACCTCAAGTGAGAGGAGCCACCCGCATTCCAAGTCGTATGGTAGGCGTACGTGGATGCAACATCTGATACAACGGCACTTTAAAGCTGGGGGCATCGTCTTCGCTTTCCAAGAGCTCGTGGCTCTGCATCACCCGCTGAGAGATGTTGAAGGCTTCACCCAGGCGGCCATTGGCTCTCAGAGTGTCTGCAAGGTTGCCCAATGCCCTGGGAATCAGGACGTTTCATGTGTTTTCACACCTCAGTCGATGCTCGGGATGCCCGGCCCGGCCTCAGCTCTGCAGCTTGATGCTCCTTTGCAAAGCCTTGCGCAGCACGCCGCAGCAGCCCCTCAGCCTCAGCACCTTTTCCGCGACTGCGAAGCAGCATCGCCAGATTGTTGGCTGCCGATGCCACTGCAGAGGCAAGGCCTTTCTCAGTGTCGCCGGGAAAGCCTTCAGCAACATCCAGGGCTCGTCGGAACCAGCTCTCCGCCTCCGAGCCGCGCCCGTTGGCCTGTAGCATGTCAGCGCCGGAGCGCAGGACCGAGATGCCGGAGGATTTGATGCCGAGCTTGGCATAGACCTGGCGCAGGCAACCAGCCTCCCACATGATGCGGAAATCGTGCATCAGTCCGTCCCTGCCTCGGCTGCCTCTTCTATGAGCTTCAGGCGCTTCGGAAGCTTCTCAACCCGCGCACCCGCAACCAGCTCAAGGGCACGTGCCAGACGCAACTGGTCACTGCGTGAGGACTGCGTCTTCAGCTTCCTGCGCTGCGTCTTCGCGAGGCGTGCACCTGCGGCGGCTGCTTCGTCATGCTGACCCATCTGCCGCAGGGTGTCCGCCACCCCAAGCCGCAAATCCAAGGTCGTCGCATGATGTTTGCCAAGGTCTTCAGCAGCCGAGCGGGCGGTGCGCCGATATAGCGCAAGCGCTTCCGTGTAGCGACTTTGCTTGGCGTAAGCCGATGCCAGAGCAGCAGCTGTGGAGATGCTGCTCGAGTGCTGTGGTCCCAAGATGTCGGACTGTTGTGCTGCCTGGAGGAACACGGTAGCCTCCTCCAGCCTTTGCAAGCTGCCATCAACTGCTATCATTGGAGTTGCACAGCGAACCATCTGAACTCGCCTGTTGTGCGCCAGCATCTGCGATCCGAGCCTTGCATGTCTGGGCAGCACGAGGAATAAAAAAACACGATGGGTGTTCCTTCTCCCGTCCCCTGCCTAGCTGTGCTCAGCATCGTGGCTCGGTGATTTGGGCCATAGGTGACCTTGCGACCCTCCCAGGCCGCCATAGAAAAGGCCAACGCCTCCTGCAATGACGCGGGTCATCGTGGCAGCCATTAGGAGCCACTCCGCTACCCTAGGCACATCAGCCTCCTTGCGGCCGGCAGCCTCCATGACCTTGGATCAGACAGCATAGCAAGCCTCAACATTTTCTTAACGAAAACGATAACGAAGTTCGAAACAGGTGTTCGGTCACTGACCCACTTCCTCCGACACCACACACCTCGTTTAGCCAGGCTCTTACAATCTTGTTATCTGTTGCACCTGGGAGCTAGGATTTACGGACCACAACAGACCATCTCAGCAGATGATAGAAACACAGCCAGGAACAGAAATCTCCTGCTCTCGCATGCCAGGCAGCTGTGGCAAGGGTGCTCCGGCTGGCCAGCGTGTCCTCATCCAAGGTGCCAAGGTGCTGCTCACGTCCCGACAGAGCACCAGCAGCCCAGTGGACCTCAAGCACTCGAGCGCTTCACAGATCTCTACCCTGCCTTTGCCTTCCAAGCCCGAGAGGCAGCTTCCTGCTGTCGGCCATCCAGCTGAAGCCCGTACGCCAAGCGCTCCGCAGCCTACAGAAGCTCGAGAACAAAGGACCAAGCCGACAAGCCAGGTGAGGGTCAGCTTTCTCCAAGCCTCCAAGCATTGTCGCATGTTCGTAGGCGACTGACACCTCATATCAGGTTAGCACTGCCCCCTTGAAACTTCCCACGACTTTGTTGCAGGGGTCGGGATCGGGCAGCCGCGCAAACTACAAATTCAACAGACTCTAGCTCTGCCACCCGTGATGGCCCTTTGCTGTCCCACAGACTACATGGTGCATAAACACGGAGGGCACACATGCGCAGGGGCTGCCTGACGCTCGGGAAATCACGATTCATCGAAAGCGCTTGCTTCCTGTGATACTTCATCCACACAAACTTTGTCGAATGAAGAGAAGCTCGTTTTCATTTACGACAGGCATACATATGTGCACATGTCATGTGCTGAAATATACAGTACTAAGTCAGGCGAGCAGCACCGCTTCTGCTTGGGCATCTCCTTGCCAGGTGCTTGCTTTGCACTTCAAGTTCAGATCGGGTGCTGATTTCCCCGCCGTGCCCGAATGTGCCGCTCACTGAGCGACTCCGTTCTCGAATCGATGTTCACAGTCGTCGCAAATAGGCTTCAGAGTCCATGTAAGCATCTGAAACCAACACACAACACCTGAACACATTTAAAGCCTCGAAACCGTAAACCCTGAATAAACTCTAAACTCTTACCTTGAAGGCCTTAAACCCTAAAAAGGACGCTGAACTGTAAACATCGACCTTAAGCCGTAAGCCCTCAGACAAAAAGCAAACCTCAAAAGCTCTCTCGTGAATCGCACGTGCTTGAGTCCGCACTGTGCCCGAACCGGGAGAGCTCGAATCATGTGAGTCGGGTGTGCTGAAATCGTCTGCGCTTGAATCTGGCGTGATCCAATCGTGGCCAGTGCTCGAATCGCGCTTTAATGCAGTTCCAACCCTCTTTCTATGTTGTGTGGTGCCAAGCGTCCGGATCCTAGAGGTGCTTTTCGAGTCTTTGTCAAACAACTTCTGAGTTTATGGGCCTGTTCGTCCGCGTGGGATTGTGGGATTGCTGTCAACATCACTTCAGACATGAGACCAGGCTGAAGAAAAGCTCACAAATCCAACTTGGAGTCTGAGAAAACCGCAGACAGAGCTCCCTTGTCCTTGGCTGCTCACGAAGGAGGCCATCTCCTCGAGGTAGGCTTGCCGGAGCCCCATGCCTTGGAGGTGAATCGAGAGTGGAGAGGCGCTGCTCAGGACGGCTACTGCAGTGCTCAGTCCGGGCGCTGCCCGGCAAGGCCATAGACGGGTTGGTCCCACAAAGATCTTTCCAGAAGGCCGAGAAGACACCCATCCGGACCTCGTCGGGGATTCCCGCCAGGTGGACCACATGCTGCTGGTCAGGTGGCGCAGAGATGGGGTTCCCGATCTCGCTGTAGACCAGGCCCATGGGGAGAATGGCCACGTGCCGCCGGCAGCCCAGGGCGTCTCGGAACGGCAAGGGCATGCGGCTTTCACTTGCTTCTATGTAAAAGGCGGCCACGGGAAGCCATGACTTGGGATGTGTTGCATGGTTTGGGCTGTCTTTTCGGCACGTCTTTCGGGGCACCTTGCCGGTAAAGCTGCTCCAACACTTCTTGGTCGTTGGCGTTGGACGACGAAAGTCGTGACAGCCACAGCTGGACGAAGTCGTAGGCCCACGGATGCTGTCTGACCAGCAAGAAGCCCGAGTTGAACATGCTTGAGGTCCCTGGTCCGATGAGCTCCCCACGACTCACCATCAAGCGTGTTTCCTTCGTCGCGTGTGCTCGCACCACATCAGCCAGTGCATCCTTGCTAAAGTCAACAAGAACCGCATCGGCATCGAGGTACGCAATCCAGCTGGCCCGAACAACCTTGGCTCGCGACAGCCCGACTGCGCCGCCTGCTTCCTGCACACGACTTGAACGCCGAGCAGCCTTCAATGCTTCCAATATGGTGGCGACATTTCCAGCCCTCCAAAGCAGCTTCAGATCAGATCCCATTCCCAAGCTGCTTGTAGCCAGCTGGAAGCTGTTGCCAAACGTTTTTGCATGCGCTGCATTGATTGCTGCTGAAAACACTGCCTGGCATTTGAAGATGGCTCCGCAACTTCTGCAAGACTCGAGCCTTTAAGCGACAGTGCGTCCCAGGCGCGTAACTGTGAATCTCCCGCGTGGCCAAGCTCGTCACGTGTATGTGACTCGCGGTGGGTGCGATCGCAGATGCATTCGCACCTCAGCAAGAAAGCGCTGCAGTCGTGCTAGAAAAACTTAAGAAAGCTCCGACCGTCCTGGTGCAATGCTAGGCACAATGCAGCAAGCCGTCGACGCTCTCAGTGTTGCAGCAGACCTTCTCCGGGTTGAAGCCGTCCAGCTCTTTCGCAAGTCCTCACCCGCAGGCCCAAAACAAACCGCGACACGAGGAAAAGCACCTAAACAAGCCCGCGGCCTGCCAGCACGAGCAGGGACTGAGAAAGCATCCACCTCATGAAAGGATCCTTAGCAATTGCCCATGGCCCCAACCGAGAAACTGCTGTGCAGCACATGCATCAATGAACGCATGCACCTTTATGCCTCCCTATAGGATGCACCGCCCGCACTCTCTACATACCCACGTACAGGCAGATGCCACAGGCTTGCAAACATGCGTGCCCACCGAAGTCCTTGTCAACGAGACACGCATGTGAGATTCCAGACTTCCAGAGATTCATGATTTCTAAAGTGATGTGGCAAGTGCACTAAATACTTGAAGCCGCGGGTCCGACCCCTGTCGCCATCGTCGCCAAAAGCAGTGCAAGGGAGGGAGGGCTTGGTACTACCGCGCCCGCCTCCGCCCTCGCTTGGGGGCACTTTCTCATCTTGGACAGATTTTGTTTGGGCTTAGATAGTTGGAGTTGCTACTCTCTGACCGGAAAGAAGGGTGGAAGGAGCTGACTCAATCGGATTGAAGTGCAACGGATCTGGCTGCTTGAACCGTAAGATGCGTGGAGCTGATGAACACGCAGTGTAGGTGTTGAGTATCCGCAAGGTCTGATGTCACGTCCTCATCGTTCACTTGGAGCGTCTCGGAGCCAAACGTTGCTCCTCGCATGCCAAGTAGAGCCAAGGACGGACAGTTGGCAATCATAGAGCTCCCTGAAGCACTCCTGAGTTCTTCCATATGGTCGGATGACCAGATGGATTCCTCTGGGGCCGAAAACAACTTAGGACCTGATGTGGCCACCACGAAGAGTCTCGGCTGCCCGGCATCGTGCTTGGGACGAGATACTGCGGACCCGGGTTGTTCGCCAAGGGGTCAGCGGCCTCGTCACGGCTCCGGCAGATCTCTTGCAACCGGCAGATCACAGCTCCAGAAGCTCTGAGGCTTCGGACGCCGATAAGCGACTTGCCGATGGTGAATTTGGGCGCCGTGTTGTAGCAACTGACAAGCATGTCATGCTCCTACAGCTACGGAAATGAAGCTCAAGGCCCGTGCGCGTCGTAGGCTCGCGCGGGGTCTGTAGGCAACATGCCCTGGTATGCAAGGGCTGCACAGGTCGTGAGAACTTGCTGTTTGGCATCTGGGCATCGAACGTCCGAGTTCGCCCTAAGCGGCTTCGAGAGAGATCCACGCATGCTCCACCTTGGCCTCGGCCGTCGCACGATTTTGCGAAGGATCCGCCAAGGCTGGCGGGGACGGCTGAAGCCGGTGCCCTACGCGCAGAGCTGCCCTGTAGCCGGCCTGTGGGTCTGGGCGTCCCACTCTAAACGACCTTGAGCTGGTGAAGCTGAGGCCACTGCATCCATGCCCCACCTTGACAAGACCGCACTGGCCGCTTCGCAGGACAAGGATAGCTGGAGCTGAGCGGCTTCATGTCACGGTACTCCTTCATGGTCAAGTCAGAGACACGGCCGTTCCATTTTCCCCTGAGCAACTGCTTCGGGCTTCGGTTCTCTGCAGTCAGAACTTCTGTCGACAAATGGTCATGGGATGTCATGGGCACCCCGGCTTTCTCTTTGTCGTCCGCAGGCTTTCCTGCAGGAAAAGCTTTGCGCAATCGCTTTGCACATGTGGAGAAACCTTCCCTCGGGCGCGAGCTCGAAAGGAGGGCGACTTTTGGGACTCTCCTTCCTCTGCCCCTGCCACACCTCTGCAACACGGAAGAGCATCTCGGGCCACCGAGACAGGCGGCGAGCCTGAGCCTGAGAGCTCCCTCCAAGCTTCGTCCACCATCTGCGCGGCTTCTTGCATAACGCGCGCCACTTCGAGGGATGCCATGGCGCAAGTGCGAGATGTTCAGATTCCGCAGGTTTTGTGATCCTTGAGACACCGGGTCTCAGCGGCAGCTGGGGTCCCAAGTCGTGAGTGAGAATACTGGGCTTCGGGAGGTGGAGGGTTGATGAGGGTTGGAGGGGGTCCTGCTTTGCGGAGCCTAACGCAAACCTCTGCGGGACGAAGTTGCAAGCTCAATCCCTCCAATCGAGCGCATCTGCGAAGAGACACGGTCGTTTGCCCATCCAACGCGAGCGTGCAAACGGCCGGGCCCAAACTAATTCGCGTAGCGACGGCTCGTTCCAGGCCTCCAGGCGCCGGTCCTCGCCCGGCCTCCTGGACCGCGCCAATTTGCTCGGAGTTCGGACGGACATTACTAGACGTCTATGCACTACGTCACACTCGCGACTACGGTCACTGCACTGATGGCCCGAACTCTCTGCCGGCTTAAAGTATGCAGTGCATCGAATTGCACGACACGACTTTTAAGGGATTCTTTAAGGGACTTGCGTGGGCTGATTCCTGGCCCTTAGCAACACTGCTGCACTACTGGTCGTCGATGATCGTGCTGGACATGCTGCTAGGCGCGGGTGCCAGGACCGGTGATCTCTCTCAAAGCAGCATTCAGATCTCCATTGCACTTCGTCAAGACCTCACCACGCACTGCTTCTGCAACAGGCGCGACTCCATGCTGCATCTGACCGTGTGACTTGCCACTGGCAGCCTAGGAGCTTCTCGAACTTCCTCGCTATCGTCGTAACCCATCTCCTGGCATGTCGACACGGCCCCTCTTGCAGCAGACATTGCAGATCTTAGCAGCTTCGAGTCCTGCCTTCAGCTTGCTCAGTGCCTTCGTGTGCCGAAAGCGCGATTTGTCCGCCTGCTTGGACTTCGCTCGGCCAGCCTTGGCAAAGGCAGACTGACCCTCAGGGATCTGAAGACTGGAACTTCGACCCAGGAATCCCTCAAAACAAGACCCTCCAAATACACATGGAGCGACCCCCCTGCAGAAAACTGTGTCAAGCCGGCAACGAACTCTCAGCTCCGCACGTGGGCAACGGGACCACTTGGAGGCATTGCTGCCGGAACCTTCTCAAGGCTTGCACACGGTTCGAGGAGAATCACAGACGAAGAACCCAGGCCTGACAAGACCTCTTGCCCCTCTGCTGCCCGCAGTGCCGACAGAAGTTGTCGTCTGCTGGAAGCACTGACCCGCAGCGGGCGCAAGCGTCCTCCTGAGGTTCAAGCAATGACAAGTCGCTTGTGCGGAAAGAAGGACTGATGTGACTTGCACACGATCGCACCAGGAGACAAGAAACATTCAGACCCAATGACAAATGACGTGTCTCGCATCTCCTTGGATAAAGGAGCAGCCTGCGGCTGCGGTGTAGTCTTGGCGTGGCTTCTCAACCTTGTAGCGCAAGCATGAGTGGGCTGTGGGAGGGATCATTCAGTCGTTTGTCTTTTCCCCATCGAATTCGCTACGACAAGAAACACCTGCATGAAAGCGTGGCTTGGCGGCTGTCATGCGAACAAAGATATCGGCAGATCGGGGACCGAAGCCCAAGAAGGGACACACGAACAACCTCCCCAAAGAACGTAACTGGATTTCGGCTTTGCAGCAACAGCTTCCCAAACTTGACTCTGACGTGTCAGGTGTTCGACACTCTTGGGCCACTGCAACAAAAGACTTTCTGGCACACGTGACTACCCGGAATGATTGCATGCTTCATCATGGAGACTCTACCGAACGCTGCAGTTCTTCGTGAAGCAGCAAAATTAGCCCACCATTAGGTCTCTCCCTACAAACACGGCTCTCAGCTTGCGGCGGCATCTGCTGGGGCGCTGGCTCGACCTCGGCCGTGGACTGTCGCACACTTCAACCACCGAGGCGAGGTAAGGGCGCTACGGTCAAGCTCACAGGGGGAGGTGGCGGTGGACGGCGCTGAGAGGCGTCCCCTGTGCTCGAAACTCTGTGCTGTCTGCTGTGCCCAGTGCATCCCGGAAGCACCTGGTGGCACTGCAGCAGCCGTTGCCTTAGCCAAATGTGGAGAGCGGCACCGAAGCTTAGAGTTTCTTGCGAAGCGAAAACGACGAGGCTGGTGCCGGGGTGCGCCCCAAGCGGGACATCAGAGACGTCCTGCACACCCAGTCTTGGAGCAGGATTAGGACTGCACATGTGTCGGTCCTGGCTGCCGGATGCTCTGGTGCCGGCGTGGATGGAATCTGCCATAGAAACTGGCAATCTCTCGCTCCGTTGCTTCAAGACGATGCCAGTCCTCCACTTTCACTTGATCCAGGGTGGTCTTTGCGCGAGCGGGAGTGTTACATGCCTTCAGTGGCAGTAGGAGCCCTCGCTGCGCTAGCTCAACAGATTTCCTGGAGTCAGAGAACTGCCGGCGCTAAGGTCGAGAAAAAATCCCACTTGGCCCAAGTGTTTGCCATCGATTGAGATGCCAGGTATGCCTCTGTACGTCAAGTTTTTGCCCCTCTTTTTGTAAAAAGGTGAAGCAAACCCCTTGCTTATCATTGCCGCACGTGATGCTCGAAGGCTTTATCGAGCGGTCTTGCAACTCTGTCCGGGAGTAGTTGAAGTCATGTGTTTCGGGTATGTGTCAGCCCCATAACAATCGTGGCTCTTGCGGAAGATGTGCTGCAAACTTCTCTCTCTCGGCACAGGTCTTGCCACTCCGGCTACCTGGTTGATGCAAGCTTCTCGCGGTGCGCGAGCATCTGGGCACCCTGCGTGCAGCGACTGTCGAGCTGCCTGTGACGGCCGGGCTAATCGATGAGTCTCCCGCCCCTAACCCCCTTTCCCACAGCCTGATGATGCAAAAGCGCCGTCGGTGGCAGCGCATGGGGCGACGGAAAGTGAGCAGCCGGACTGGGCTTGCCGAGAAAGGGCCTTGCATCGCCGTCCACGCCATGCGATGCGAAACTGCAGGCGACCACCCGGACGCCTCATGGGAGAAGCCGTAACTTGGCCGGGCCAGGCACTAGCCTGGGAAGTTCCGAAAAATGTTGGGCGGACTCTTCTCTTTTGCTGCCTGCAACCGCCACACAAACTGCGAAGCCTCTGGACGTGGGATCGTGTGCAGAGGTGTCGGGACATCCTGAAAAGATGCCGTTTTTTTTCGCTGGCAAACTCACATCCTTAGCACCTCCGCCGGGCGGATGCTGACCAAGATGGTCATGACCTCTGTGTTTCGCTGCCCCCACTTTTGAAACGCTGGATTTGTGCTGAGTTTCGCTCCCTTCAAGGCCCTGGCACCGGCACAGGCCACCAATGCCGAGGTCATCAGCGACTCCAGGCCTGCGCTGCCGGCCTCGCAGCAATCTCCCCCGCCAAAATCCACGCATGCTTGACCTTTTTAGATCTCTGGCCTCGTCGTTTGCTCCCAGCTGTACAGCTTCTATGGACTCCGAACCTGCCACGTCTCAGGGAAGCCTGCTTTCGTTATGAAGGCAGATGCTTTTCTTGGGCATAGATGAATATCAACCACCAATAATCGTGAATTGAAATCGTGCTGCTTAGTCTGTGCCGTATAAGCCACTGCCTGTCGGCCACCGTAACTTCCTGTTGCCTAGACCTACATTTGCCTACCTTCACATCGCCCCGCTTCCTTGCAGTGTAACGAGTATAGCACACCGCTCACGGAAAAGACAAGCATTCGTTGCTGAATGAACACACGCTGCATCCAGCCTGAAACTCCCACGGCACTGCAGAGCGTGGCAGACACACCGCCAAGAAGAGAATGCCAGGCCTTAAAAATGCGACGCTTTCGGCACCAATCCGAGGTCGGTGACTGTTGGGGTGCACATCTCGGCCTCCTCCAGCATGCGGACAAACGCGCGCCCAGCCACGCGCACCACCAAACCGGAAGCCTGCCACATTGCAGAAACTGCACCGCTTTGCCCTGAGTGCCCGAGTGCCCTTAAAGCGAAGAATCGCAGGCCCTCGCCTCAACGAGCGCAGCAGCTGCGGCAGCTAGCTCGTCATCTGCCGTCTGCACCGCGACCGACTCGGCATCTGCACCTCCTTTCACATTGTGGATCTCACACGTTGGGGCATCTGGGGGGCCTCCCATGGCAGTCCTCCTGCCGGCTCCAGATGCTCAGCGTAGCTTGCCTCGTTTAGCAAGCTCGTGTGCAGCGCGCTCGTGGTGTCGTCTGCCTGGCACTGGCCGTGCAGAAAACCCCCAAACAGACTTCGCAGATGTAGCTGTTTTAGCAGTTAATGAGTGACTAGTGACTGAACTTCTTCGGTGAGACTACCTTCCAATAGTGTCTCTGAGGTACCCGACAACATCTTGCACCTGAGGCCTGTGGCCCGGCCTGGCTTGGCACGTCCACGAAGATCTCAACGTCATCTGTCACGATCTCGGTCGCTATCTCTCGCTCCTTGGATCCGCATGAATGATCGCAGGAGCGATCGTGATCGCTCGGATGTTCCAAGGCCCTTGCCGGGGGGATCGGAACAGGAGCCTCCTTGGGTGGAGCGGGCTCTTCTACATCCTGCAGATCGCTGCAGGAAAGGGTGGCCTGTACCTTTAGACTGCATGAACTTTGCCATGCCTTCCCTTTGTAGACTCACACCCCGACCCCCAAGCCTCCACCGAGGGCAGGGGCCAATGAGCCGACACAGCCGGCACCTCCAGCGCTGCTGCAGACTTCCACAGATCTCTGCAACGAACTTCCGGCAACCTCCGGTGGGGCGGCTTGTGCCTCGGAAATGCTGCACAAACGGAAGAGGAGACAGCACGGTCACCAGTCTGAGAAGTGCACCCAAGGAGGTAAATGTGTGCCAAGACTGCCTGGCCTGCTCTGATTCCATCAACCGTGCGAGTCCAAGCAACAAGAACTGAGCCTCAGGTCGGAAACGACGTCACCTGCTCCGGCACGGTAAAGGCTACCTGTGAGGAGCTCATCCCGCGCCCCCTCCATCCCATTTGCAGCCAGTGCCGAGCGTCGCACTTGCTAAACAGGTCAGGCACATGGAGCCGAGTACCTGAGGCAAAGCAGCGAAGAAAGGCATGATACTTGATTCATGCTTGTCCACTTGTGGAGCATGTTACTCGACTGCTGATGAGAAAACTCTCTGTCTCTAGGTGACCGGCCATGACCAAGCCCATCGCAACTGCTGCGAAGGCTGGGCCCACAGAGGCGAACTTGACCTGCAACAGGTGAAAACGGGTCCGCATGTCCAGACTAAACTGTTCCACTCCTAGGACCAGACCAGTAGTGCTGTTTCCTACCTTTCCTACTTCGACTCTTACTGTATCCCGTCATGTCGGCTGCTCCTGTCGTTCCTCCTTGCGCGTCTTCTGCATTTGTTGTAAAGTGCTCTTGTTGAGCTGCCAGCTTACGCCGTCATGCCTCGAGTAACGGCCAGTTCCACGAGGACTACTTATAGGCACTTGACCCCTGTCTATCCAAAGGGCCCGATGTAGCGTTTGTCGAAAAAACCCATGGACTCTCAAGAAAAGTCAGTCTTCCGCGGCATGCTCACCACATAGGCGAAGGGGCCTCGGAATGAGGGCACCTTTGCCTCGTCACTCCGCAGGCCCCATTAATCAAAGCATCTGAACATAAACGACAGCTATGTCCAGTTCCCGTCTTGCCAGTGTCGTTGCCGGAAAACAGCAGAGTACTGCACCCGTGCAACGTTCATTGGACAAGTTTCTTTCAGAGACGCCATCGCGAACCGAACGTGCACCGAAATGAGAAACCTCGAGCTGACAGCGACCTGGACAATCGGCGCAAACGCCAGCAATCTCATTCCAACTTGCTGAACCCCACTCGAAAACATTCAAGTTGCGTTATGACAGGCATTGTTTGAGACCACGTGAAGGCAGAGAAACAGTTGGTTTTCGATTGATCTCCTAGGCACGAGTTGAATTATTCGAGAAAATGAACTCGCCAAGTAGCTGTTCATCACCCAAAACCCACAGAGTCCCCGGGCGTTTAGCTTTGATTTCTGTTTGCCCCGGCCTCTCCGAGGCTTCTTCCCCACATTGGCTTTGGAGCAGGACGTGCCGGACCTGCGCTGGAGCAGCGGAGCAGCTGCAACAGAATGCAACAGAATGCCGCGCCAGCCTCGTGACGGTCTCACCGAGGGCATCGGAGCCAAGCTGGGCCGCGGGGTGCCTTCTCGGCAGAGGGAGCAGAGCCTGTCCCGCTCTGTCCAGCTCCGCGGCTCCGCGGCCTGCTGCCGAAGGCCGCGTGGAGCGACCAGCCTCCGAAGGTCGAGCAGAGCGCGCGGCTGCAGCCTGGGCATGGGCTGAAACAAGCGAGACACCGAGATGAGGCCAGGCGGCTGGCAAGGAAGTGCTTGACTTCGACAGCGCTGAGGTGCTCTTCGTCTCCGTCCTGCGACGAGCTCCGAAGGCGCTCAAGTGGCGTCTGCGGCGCTCGCACTCTAGATGTACTAGCTCTCTCCCACCAAGGCCAAGATGTGTGCCAGCTATGGCAAGGTTCCTGCTGGCCTTCCTAGCTCACGCAGCATGCGCTGTCCGGTCCGTCTTCTTATGCTGCTATGATGGAAGAAAGCGCCGGTCAGGGCAGGGAACCCTTGCGGACAGGGACAGGGTTTCGAGTTGTGTGAAAGTCAGGAACTGACATTGACATTGTGTAGCGACATGCAACCGTGGAGAGTTTGTTCGTTCTTGATGACCTGCAGTGCCCGGCATCTATGCACCGGCATGTGAAGTCCTCATAGGCCACATGATAAGCCCTTTCACCAGATGCCGCCTCAAGCTCGCTCCAACTCTCATAGATTGCTTGCAGGCCAGATGCCTCACAAATCTTACCAGGTCTCTTGCATCCGCATCAATGGCAATGACCTGTCTGGTCGAATTGCGAAAACAAGCCAGCAATATGCAGGGCACGATCAAGTCTGAGTTTGGGCCTGTCCGTAGTACCACTGTGACCCGAAGATCTTGCGAATAGTGGCACCTAACAGCCTCAGCCAGACAGAAGTCAATCAAGGTCCAAACAGAGAAAGACTACATCTTGCAAAACCGATGCTATCAGAAGTGAGCCAAGTCTGGAACGGATCTAACCTCGCCTCATCTCGCGACAACGGAACCAGGCTTTTGTTTGCAGCGGCGGTTGCCCTGTTCACTCTGGCCAAAGGCAATGCAAAAGAGCCAAGAGTGCAGACCCCAGGATTTGTCGCACCTGATCTTCCAGCCGAGCTCCATGGCTGCTGAGGAGCATGGTCTGTCCCTCCTACTGGAGCCGACAAGGCACACACACACACACACAACAGTTGCGACCGCTCATCATACCACTGCTGCAGTTCGAAACTCCGCAAGCCGGGCTGCCTACAACATGGTGTCACCATTTTTGGCGATCAACACCACGTCTTTTGCGCATACCGGCAACTGTAGCACCGAATCCTGACTCCGGACTACAGAGTGCCACCTCAACATCAAATTAGGGTCCGCCCCCCTTTCAAGAAGCATCTTGAACGCTTCCTCAAGCAGAGGGGCAAATGTGTGCAGCAAGCGGCGCCACTACTACAGCTGAGATGTGAGACCCCGGGTGCTCTGTACAGACGGCGCACCTCCGACTCAAATGCATGCTAATTGAAGTCGCCCGGTCTCATCATGCCTTGCCTCAGACTCAGTGCAAGATTCGAGCTGCAGCCGATGATCTTCCGAGCGTCCATGTCCAGGCCCCAGGCTCGTTCTTAATTTCGGAAGCGCCGGCCTCGACACTGAGCTCTCTCGGTCGCTCGCCCGCCGAAAAAGCTCTCATGCCTTCGCCGGCTTCCCACTGACGCCTCCTCTCGATGCCCTGGCAAAAATCAAGTGCCAGCGGCTTGCAGCTAGCGTCACCAGCAACACACGCTTTCGGAGGTCAGCGAGCCCGTGAGGCAGGTCTTGCGCACGCTGCTCTGCTGCCTGTGCTGCTGCCTGGCAGATCTTTGGCACATGGTGCCAGGACGTGAGAAGTGTCAACGTGGAATTGGGGGAGGGCCGCCTTTCTTCTTGCCTCCCGCTCGTCATCGCTCATGTGCTTGTTGTGGAAGACTGGCCTGGCACTGACGTCCAATCACTGGCTTCCAAGAAAGCTCTCTGCTCCAAGCGGCTTGGAAGGGTCGCTCGTGTTTGGTCCAGACCTCGTGGCTGCGGTGCCCAACCGCCTGAAGCAACCAACTCAAGCTTGGGCTCATGACTGGCAGCACCCCATGGCGAGAAACGGATTGCAGAAGATCTGTCCCTATCAACTAGTTGAAGCTCGTGGCTCGAATATCCACAAACGGGCGAAACATCAAAAACCTTGACTCAAGCTCGAATGACTTGGAGGCAGAAGCACAATCACCGCTACAGACGCCTTTTTTTGCCATCCACTCTTTGTAAAGCCGCCCGACTTCAAGCATGGACGGTGCAGTACAAGCCACCGTTGCCCCACTTCGCGTGAGGCCAGCTGCAGACTCGTGCTGAAACACGGGGTATCCTGCATGCCCCGTCTTTGGAGGCCGCTTACTCAGAAGATATTACTATGGCTGCTGCACTTCTGCTCAGGCTTCAGGACAAGATCCAGCAACCACGCATGGGCCTGACAAAAAAACAACTAAGCCCACACGGTGCATCTTGTTTCTGGATGCAAAAGAGCGGCACTCGAAATTCTTCCTGGCTGAGGCTTGGGCTGAGACCCTCTGCCAAGCCTGCTTGTGGATTCAGTGGCTCCTTGAGGGGCTCCAGAGGTTCGAACAGGTCCTGGCAAGTGCAGAATTTGAGGGCTGCAGCCCAGGGAAAAGGATCAGATGAAAAAACGTGTCAACTACAATCGAAATGGCACTACAGCAGTTTCCTCAGATAGTTGATAATGCTTGCCGCGGCCGCTGCTGCGACACAGCTTCGATCACCACTACGACTACTCTGGCAACGTCGGCTTCCCATACTCCTTGTGCAGGAGCAACACCGAGACCGCCACCAAAACGACGACAACGACGACGACTATCGCTACTGGAACTGCAGCCTCTGCTACTGCTGCCACGACTACAAAACCACGACCACCAGTCATAATAACAACAACTATAATTGACTATAACCATCTCCAAATGAAAGTAGAAATATTGTAACTGATATTGCGATACTCATGTAGGTTCTGCTTCTGCTTCTTGTGATTTGCAGGTCGTAGCATCAATAGAAGTAGCCAACAGACAAGTAGATGCTGAAGAAGTAATGTAGCAATAACTGTTGTTGTGATAGATGTAGTACTAGTACTAGTAGTAGTAGTAGTAGTAGTAGTAGTAGTAGTAGTACTAGTAGTAGTAGTAATAGTAGTAGTAGTAGTAGTAGTAGTAGTGGTGGTTGTGGTGGTGGTCGTGGTGGTGGTTGTAGTAGTTGTATCAGTAGTAGTCGCAGTCGTAGTCGTAGTCGTAGTCGTAGTCGTAGTAGTAGAAGTAGTAGCAGCAGCAGCAGCAGCAGGAGTAGTAGAGGTAGTAGTAGTAGTAGTAGTAGTAGTAGTAGTAGTAGTCGTAGTAGTAGTGGCAGTAGTAGTAGTAGTAGTAGTGGTGGTAGTAGTAGTGGTAGTAGCAGGAGTAGTAGTAGGAGTAGTAGTCGTAGTAGTAGTGGTGGTTGTGGTGGTGGTCGTGGTAGTAGTAGTAGTAGTAGTAGTAGTAGCAGCAGCAGCAGCAGTAGTAGTAGTAGTAGTACTAGCAGCAGCAGTTGTTGTTTCAGTTGTTTCTGTTGATGTTGCTGTTGTTGTTGTGGTCGATGGTTTCATCCCGAAAGGTTTCGGGGCACAAACAAATGTAACATGCACCGTCTAATCCTCTGCGTCTTCATCTTCTGCGAGCAACTCTTCTGCAGAAAGCTCTTTCAGAGTCGGCGCACCAGTCCTCCATCAATTCACAAGATTTCACCCAGAGAATCAGGTCACAGCTGCGGTTTCAACAGCACATCGGAGCCACCGTTTGACATTGAGCCAGCTACAAGTCTCAATTCGCGGCTGCCACAAAAAGCTTTCACAATGCAACAAGAGATGGCAATATTCAGACTGCAATGCATGTCCCAGTGCTCCTTTGAAGCAAAGCCACGTCATCTGTAGACTGTGGGCCACCTCAGATCCAGAAGATGGCCGATGTTTACGGATGACGACGGTTACGAGTGGGTTGCTAGTGGTGTGCTTGCGTTCTTCAACTGATCTCGGAATCGGACTTAATGCAGCCGCCAGTGTAGCTGTCAGAGCGACCAAGGTCAGGAGGACGGTACCTGGCATCGACCCGTCTATGACTCCCACCACGTCTGCCATTCAGATGGACAGGCCAGCAAGTCTGTTGCGCCACATGCGTACAGAGAAAGGGTTCAGTGTCAGCTGGGAAAGATACTTGAGCGCACAAGGCAGCGAGTTGACCTACTCGTGAAACACTTCAGGTGTAGCTCTGCCGATGCGGTGGATTCCTTTCTGGTCAGTGACAAGCCACCTCACCCCAAGAAAGGTCATTCTCCAAACCTCGCAAGTTTAGCAACAACTGTTGCTTTTCAAGACGACTATCGAAAACTGAACTCAACAACTGACCGCTGCAACGCCGAGGCAAACAAAAACATGAAACCTTGTACCGCAAAATAAGATACAGCACCGACTCTCTCTTATATCAGTTTTTCCAAACTGCGTTCTGTTAGAGTGTAGTCTCTGGCTGTTTCGTTGATAGCGTAAGTCCTTCTTCCCCACTCCGGCCGCAACCCTCTCCAAAACGCGGCCCTGCAGCCCCAGAGCTGGCTTTTAGAAGGCACGAAAGTGCGCGAAAAATCCATGCAAAATCTTTTGGACCATAGTGCGGCCTGGCAGGGTCGAGGTTTGGGAGGTTCGACTTCCGCTGATCCGGTCGAGTCCGCTTGAATTGCAAGAGGAGAGACTGCGGTGAAGACAGTCGTTTCTGCGTCCAAAAAATCAAACCTAACCGTAACTCAGCAGACTCCAGAGACACTCCGAAAAGCCGCCCCAAACTCCACAGAGACTTTGGTAGAGACTTCGCAAAGACTCAAGAAAGACAAAATAACACCACAAGAATCCAACAGACCAGCCGAAATTTCACCGATGCCTGCAGACTCAACACACTTATGAGCGCTGCAAACTCTGGACTTCCACTGCTTGAACAGTTTCGCGGTTCCACCGTAGTTCTGACTATCTTAGTTTCCTTAGCGACCAACTTAAGCTCTGAGAAATGAAGCACGCAGACGCTCTTTTGTCATGGTGTGCTCGGAATGGTCCGGAGGAGCATAGCATTGCTACGCGGATCTGCTCTAGCCCCCACTGTAGCTCCGAGCACACCGCTGGTCCAACTTGCCCCCTCCGTCGTGCGGCGAAGGAGCGTCCTGGCAA